GGTGCCCTCTGGCGTCCTAAGCCAGCTTTTAACCAACACGCCACTTGGCTGGCCCAGTGAATCCCTCTTTAAAGCAATGTTTTTCACCTTTTTGAATTACAAACCCTTTTGCGAATCTGAAAAGAAAGACTTTACCCAGAAAACTATACATAATTCATGCAAGTAAATTTGTAAAATTTCCAAGAAATTTACTTTCTCCAGAATAAAAACCACTGTTTTACAGAGTGCCAACACAATACTACTACTATTACTACTATTACTAGTACTGCTACTAATACTACTGTCACCACTGTTTCTAATATGACTACTATGTCCCCTGCAGGTAAGCATTTGATAATGGTGAGACTGCCTCTCAGTATGGCAGAGTAGAATGAGATTTTAAGTTAGGCAGTCTGGGTCTGATTCTACTTAATCATTTAGTAGCTGTGTCACTTTAGGCAAGTTACTGAACCTCTCTGAGCCTGTGTTCTCATCTGCAGAGCAGGAATAGTAATATCTACCTTGCTGGAGCCAGCACATACCTGGCATGTTGTAAGAAGGGTCTCCCTAAATGCTGGTGATTATTAATACCCAGGTTTGTAGGAATTATTATTATTAAAGATTTTATTGGGGAATTGGGGGAGGGGGACAGAAAAGTTGCTGTCCTTTTGTTCTTCAGTCTAGTTGTGGAGGACGTTGCTTCACTGGCCCGTGTTGGTATTATCATTGCACTCTTCCCGGGTGAGGCAGTCGCTTCCCGGCCGTTGGACGGCTGCTCACGTCAGCTCACAGCAGCTCACGAAAGCTCACGGCAGCTGCTGGCCAGCCCCACTGCAGCCTACACCACCACCAGCGACTCATAGCAGCCCAGCTCCAGGTCGAGCTGTTGTTCACCTTCTTAGCTGTAGAGGGCACAGCATCCCTGGCCCTCATATGTGGGATCCAAACCGGGGCCCTGATGCTCAGAGCTGGCGTCTCAAGCCGACTCTTAACCAATGTGCCACTTGGCCGGCCCTGTAGGAATTATTTTTATTGGGTAACTTCCATGGGATTTTAAATAAGGATTAAAAGCCTCTTTGTTTCCCTCCCAGTTAAGGGCTTATTTCTCAACTGATCCCTTCTTCTTCCCAAGGCAGAAAATCTCCTAATTACCACTGTGTTGGCCTGCACTGGGGAGTTCCCACAACCACCCATTTCCACACCTCTTCTGTCGCCATCTTATTAGCTTGGGCAGGAGGGAACTACTGCTGAGAAACAGCTGGGGTCTTCTCAGCTCATTTACTTGGTTAACAAGCAGAAGGCCTAATTCAGCATGGGGGGGACACAGGGACTTCTGCTTTTGACTGGCTCGTCTAGGAGAAGTTTGGGGGGAGCTGCTGAAAACACAAAAGTTTGGGGGGAGCTGCTGAAAACACGCCAGTTCCCAGGACTTTGCATAATAGGTCTAGCAAATTGCAAGTTATGTGCTAGGAAGTGCATTCCACACCAGGACCTTTTTCTGCTTGTCAATATTTGCTCAACCTGACATCCTAGCTCCAGGTTTCAGCAAAAATGGTCCAGCTGTTTACACACTGACAACGGCTAAGGTGGTTTTAATAAATGATTAAGCCAAATGCTGAGCCAGACCTCACTTTCCTAGCTCAGGTTTCATCGCGGTATTTAAGTTGGGTACTCATCAAGTTTGAAAGATCAGTCTAGGTGTTCGGTGAGAAAGTGAAAAATGATTCCTGTAGGACTGGCCCTGGGTGAAACCGTAAGCATGTAAAGTTTATGTTGGGGCTCCAGCTCCTCTTTCTGCACCTTCTTGCTCATTTTTGTCCTCCCCCTACCTCCAGGATGACAATGTTCTCATTCTGATCCATTTTTTCAAAGGTTAGCATTTCCCCTGAGGATTTAAGTACCCATTGAACACGTGGCCCAGCTCAGATACCACCTCAGACTCTGGGCAAATCCCTCAACCTCTCTGAGCTGTTCTTTATTCATTTGTAGATGGGGAAGTCACTGCTGTATGATGCTATGAATAATAAATGAGATAATATTTTGTAAATTGTAAAGTACTATACAAGTGACATATTATTATTGTTATCTATGCCAAGAGTATTTTCATATTAGAAGAGGGCTGCTGGCACAGGCCTTAAGGTAAATGAGTTAATACAATTACTTCATGCCAAGCACTATTCTAAATCCTTTACCTGTATTATTTAATTGACACAATAACACTATGAGGTAGCTATGATTACTGTCATTCCTATTTTATGGATGAGGAAACTGAGGCACAGACAAGTAACTTGCCCAAGGTGGCACAGCTAGTAAATGGTGGAGCGGGGGTTGAAGCATAGTAATATTGTTCTGGAGTCCATGCTCTTAAATCCCATGCTATTCTGTTAGAAAATGAATTCCTAATATTAAATGTAACACCAACAAATTAATCCTACTGATCAAATTTTAGGTGTTAATGAGAAAGATACTTTCAGTCAAGCCTTTTTCCTTAGCATCTCCACCCTCATTGGCTCCGCCTCAGTCTAGGTCCTGGATACCAGCAATGGAACCTGTTGCAAAACCTCCCAGTTAGGGCCTCTGCCTCCAGCCAGCCGTTCCCTTCCTCATCCATTTTCCAAATGGTAGCCAGAGCGGTCTTTCAAAAGCACAAGTCAGATCAGGTCATTCCCCAGCTTAAAGTTCTTTAATGGCCTCCACTGCTGAAAAGATCAAATCCCAGTTTCTGAACAATGGCACAGAAGGACTGACCCATAATCTGCTCCCTGCCCACCTCTCAGCCTTGGATGTGACTTCTCTCCAAATAGATGCTAATAGTTACTCAAATCTCCCCGAGCCTTCTGGCCTTGGCTCAGATGTCTTCTAGAACATCCTGCCCTCATCAACCATCTTTCAAGACTCAGCTCATCTCTCAAGACCACAGCTAGTGAAGCCTTTGGTCCCTCCCCAGAGAGGACTGACCACTTCACTTCTCTGCCTCCACTGCACGCTACATTCAGCACCCCTATCCCAGCACCCCCTGCACCATGAAGTTCCTACAGTTAGGGGTGTCCATAACCACCTTTCCCCTTTTCAGCACAAGCTGGAAGGCAGGCACCAGCTCCTACCCTAGCACCAAGCTGAAGCCCTGGCACCCAGCAGTCACTCAAGTTATTTGTAAACGAACGATAGAATGGTCACAGGGTCTTCTGTCACTCCCTTCAGGCACATTCCATCAAAAGGCCCTCATCAGACTCTGCATTTTCCCAGCTTTCCACTGACACTCAGTTCTAGAAGAGTCAAGTCCCAAAGAAATGTGACTCTCTTCGTACCCCTTGCTGGTGAGACGGTCAACAAGCTGACCACGCTCTTCAAAGTAAAAACTTACTCCCCAAGCAAAGGGGTGGGCTGGGAAATCGGTGGCATATAGTCCAAGAATTCAGACTCCCAGCCTAATACTTTCGTAACAGTTCTCTGGATAAAAATCGCTTTACACAGAGTTGAACAAAATAATCTAGGCAGTTTTTCTAGAAACACCTTGCCATTCAAACCCTTGTACAACAGCTGGGCTGGAAAGGGAGCTGGAGACTTAAGACTAACAAATAACAAAGGCTGCCATTGATAGGGCAGGGAAGAGGAATAAGAAATTCAAGTGGAAAAACAGGAATTTAGACACAGATAAGAATTTCCCTCAAGATCTGAACATTCCTGTTCTTGCTGAAAACTAGACTCGTTTGGCAAGATCTGTGTAGATACATAGGATTTTTGTTTTAGGAATAGTGTAAAAATAAGCAGTTCACTAGGTCAGTGGCTGGTCTCGGCTGAGCAAACACATACTATAACACCTGTGTGAAGCGTGGGTGTGCCTGTGTGGGGATACGGGGGTCTGCTTGAGAGAGGGCCTTGAGCTGGGTTTGTATATGGTTGTGTAAGAAGGGAAAATGGAATCGTTAGGAGTGTTTGCAGGGGAAGAGAAGGGACTCTTTTTCTCTCCCTGCTGGTTTGTTCAGAACCTATCTTGGAGATTGGTCCCCTTGCCAATCACTGGACTACTTGAGTAGAGGGCTCTCTGGGAGCACTGCCAGTCTTACACCAGAGTCCTGCTGCCTCTGAGACCCCCTTAAATGACCAGGTCTTGTCTCTCAAGTTGGGATGCTTTGGGAAGCTATCCAGAGACTGTAGGAATAGGCTGCTTCCAGCCATCCTCTTATTTTCCCTTGAACAGTGGTTTTTAAACTGTGTTCCACAGAACACTGGATTTCCTGAAAAGGAGATCTTTGAATTCAGTGGATACTCAGGCTGATAACAGATTGTAAGTTCCATCATTAGCACTTGCTATCAAAATGTTTTGTTCATTAACATAGCCTTGTGGCTCTTCTAAATTAACTTTGATAATAATTGTTATAAATTAAAGTGTAAATGTATACCTCTAATCCACTCTATTATTTATAATTATAATCTTATACTATATAAGATTTCATTTAAAAAATTTTACTGCTTAGGGGCCGGCTGAGTGGCTCAGTTGGTTAAGAGTTTGCTTAAGAGCACAAGCTCTGAGCAACAGGGTCGTCGGTTCGATTTCCACATGGGCCAGTGAGCTGCGACCGAGCTGAGCTGCCGCTGAGCTGCCAACAGGCAGCAGGATGGTTCAGCTGGTGTTAGCATGTGCTCCTAACAACAAGATTACCAGTTCAACTCCTGCCCGGGATGGTGAGCTACACCCACCGGCAACTAAGATGAACACGGCACCTTGAGCTGAGCAGCCGCGAGTTGCCGATGGGCAGCTGGATGGCAATTGGAGCAAGCTGCACTCTCCACAGCTAAGATTGAAGGACAACAACTTGGCTGTTCCCCTTCCCCAATTCCCCAACACTGTTCCCCTTCCCCAATTCCCCAATAAAATCTTTAAAAATAATAATAAAAAAATAAAATTTTTTTACTGCTTAAAAGAACAGATTGCATTCATGGGGCCGGCCAAGTGTCTCAGTTGGTTAAGAGCTCGCTCAAGAGTGTGAGCTCTGAGCAACAGCCCTTGTATTGCCGGCCTGAGCTGAGTTGCCGCTGAGCTGCCAACAGGTGGCAGGATGGCTCAGCTAAAGAAAAAAAAAAAAAAAGAAGAATAGATTGCTCCCCCTTTCCCTAGCTCTCCTAAGCCTTCTAACCCCCAGGTTTTTTCTTTCTTTTTGCCATGGCATCATGCACTTTTTATTGTCTAACATACTACATAAACTTTTATATATTTATTATTATAGTTATTGTTTATTGTCTGTCATTTTCCCTCCAGAATATAAGTTCCATGAAGACAGGATATCTGTCTATTTTGTTCACTGATGTATTCCAAGCATGTAGAATAGAGCCTGGCAGATTGTAGAGGCTCAATAAATACTTACTGAATGATTTCAATTTTATTTCCAGAGTGATTGGTGGAGTATGGATTGGCAAGGCTCTTCCAGGGTCCAGAAAGTAAGGGTTTAAGAGTTATTAGTCTTGGGCTTGGGGCAAGATGGCGAGTAGGTAAACTGTGTGCTTGCTTCCTGCTATGACTACATGAAAATTACAACTAAATTACAGAACAATCAACCTGGAGAACCATCTAAAGACTAGCTGAACAGAAACCCTTTATAACTAAGGATATAAAGAAGAAGCTACATTGAGACTCCAATGCTTTATATATTCTAAATATAAATAATTAAAAAATATATTATCAGTCTGAGCTTGACCAGAGGATGGCTCTACTTCCTGTTTCTCCCTGTGTTTTTTGGTAACACCCGCCAAACTCTTCCCGCCCTCAGAAACATCACCTGAGTATTTGTCAGGGTCACACTGGTGGCAAGAAGTTTCTCCCTTATTTGAATAAGAGTTGACTGGACAAAGTTTGCAGAAAGAGGAGCCCTGCTTGTCTGCGTATGTGCCAGGTTTGCAGGGGAAGCATTCTGAAGTGTAGGCCACCCCTATGGAAGAAGAACAACATCGCAGAGCAAAAATTGAGCCTAGAGACTGAGCCGCCTGGGGACTGACCCCCATTCTCCCCTGCAGAGTCACAAGGCCAGAAATTGAGCAGCAGGCCCCAGCCCCGGTCCTGTTCTCTGTACCTGTTATGGCGATGTTTCTCACCAGTACAGGCTTGGAACCTTTGGACCACACTGAGAAGGCTGTGGTTCTCCAATAGAGGACATTATTGCCTCGATTTAGCTTGACCTAAAAACCATCAACAGGAAGAGTTAGTTCAGTCTCAGAAACAAATATCCCTAATTCACTAGAGTAGCCTCTTGTTGGGACCCCTCCTCTTACTGTCTGCATGGCAGTGCCTATTCCAGTCCTACCTCCAACTTCCTCTGCTTTTCCCTTCCTCCCATCTTGGCTTAGCTCCTGTCTCCTTCCAAGCCTCCTCTATAGCCCTCTCTGCTTTCTCCTGCTTCTCCCTCAGTCATATACACTCTGAGCATCCTATGGTGAGACCGATGAAGGGACTTGAAAGGACCCAGGGTGACTGGAATTCCCTCATTCTTTGCTTCTATTTATCCATGCCCCATCCCCAGAAGAACTGGCTCTTAAAGCTGGAAAGCTGCTGGTCCTTGGAGTCAAGTCCTAGGAACAAGCCAGCCCACACCCATATTCTGTCAGCTCAAGAGGAGAGAAATTACAGCATCCTCATCCTGTCGGACCCCTGCACTCCAGGGAGAGAGGGGTGGAAGCCCAGGCTGGGAGGAAGTACTCCTTAGCGGAAAGGCCCTTGGTCCCTTTTCTGGGATTTCCAGGGAAGGCTGGCATCTCCAGGAAAGGCTCGAGGAAGGCTGATACTCACACTGTGGAATTCCCATCCTTTCTCTGTGGTTTTCATCCACCTGGCGTCATCTGCATTGGGCTGGCACTGGTCATTCTGAACCTGCGGCAGCAGGAGTTTGTGATCAGAGTCTCAGCCTTCTAAGGAAATGGGTCCCTTACCCCATGCTGCAGCAATCTTCTAGAGGCCCCTTCTTATGGGCCAAGAGTTGCCAATTTCCTTTAGGAATGGGGCTCAGAACACATGCGCCTTGAAATTGGGTAGGAGTTAGTCACACACACAGAACGTCAGAGCATTGACACCAAAGAAGTAGCTTGTACCTCAGAAGGGTTACATGCTGTCTTCATGTCTGAGCAGGGCAAACCCCCTAAGGGTCTCCCAGATGCTACTCTCCCCCCCGCCCCCTGAGAGTCCCGCACCGCTTGTAGCTTCAGTTCATTTTGTCCACAGTTCTCCCCAGAGGGAGAACAGCCGTGGGAATTTCCCAAGCCAGACTAGCTTGTGATTCTGGAAATGAACCTGAGCCCTGGAGCATCTTACCTCCCACCCTTCCCCTTGCTCATGGGCTTACAAAAAACTCAAAGATGATGCTGGAGTCTGGGTAGTAGTATTCGAAGTTGACAGCGCCCGACTGCTTCAGGTTGACAGCGTACATCAGCGTGGCCGTGCACTCATCTGTGTTGGAGGCGATGTAGTCGCCCAGGGGAACCCACTTGGACCTGTGGGTTGGAACGGGAGCCAAGTTCACCATCAGGGGCATGAGCCACCAGGCTTTGTGATGTGCAGGTCTCATGTCCTGCTAGGTCTCTGGGGCAATTCCAGATTTGTGACTCACAAATGGAAGCTAAGACCCAAAAATGCTCAGTGAAGCATGACCTCCAAATTAAGGAGCCTGGGGGTACAGCCATCGAGAAGTGTGCCCCCATATCATGCAGAACTACCCCAGAGATAGATGGCAGGTGAAGTTGGGGGAGTGGATAACATTTATTGATTGCTTACTGTCTCTCAGGTATTAAAGCTGCTTTATAATTTCCTTTCTTTCTTTTTTTTTTTTTTTAAAGATTTTTTTTGGGGAATTGGGGGGATGGGAACAGCACTGGGGAATTGGGGGAAGGGGAACAGACAAGTTGCTGTCCTTTTGTTCTTCAGTCTAGTTGTGGAGGACGTTGCTTCACTGGCCCAAGTTGGCACCATCATTGCGCTCTTCCTGGGTGAGGCAGATCAGTCGCCGGCTTCTGGACGGCCGCTCACTGCGGCTGCTGGCCGCTCACGCTGGCCGCTCACGCTGGCTGCTGGCTACACACGGTAGCCCATGGCAACCCACTGCAGCAGGGGCTGCAGCCTACTCCGTCTCCGGCGACTCACGGCAGCCCAGCTCCAGGTTGAGCTGTTGCTCAGCATCTTAGCTGTGGAGGGCAGTGTCACTGGCCCTCATATGTGGGATCCGAACCGGGGCCCTCTGGCGTCCCAAGCCAGTTCTTAACCATCGCGCCACTGGGCCGGCCCATAATTTCCTTTCACCAGTAAGAGGAAGAGCAGTTTTATCCCCATTTAATGGATGATGAAACTGAGGCTTGGCAAGTATCTTGCCCAATATCATGCAGCCAGCAAGTGGCAGGGCTGAGATTCAAACCCGGGGTTGCCTAACTCCAAAGCTGTCAAAGGAAGTCAGTAGATACAGCTCGTCTTCAGAGCTCAGAAGTCCATCCCGTCTACTTCACCTGTTTTTCTGGAAAAGTCACTTTTAGATGCTACAAGTAACTAGTTTTTATGGGATGGGGGAAGGCATGTTTGATTTTATTTTCTAAATATCTTTCAAATCTGTCCACCTGGCCCAAAGGCTCCCCCTGCTCCTCCTCCCCAACACCCTCAGCTCTGAACGGACTCCCTAACTCACCTCTCTGCGTCCAGTCCTGCCTCCTCCAAATCTTTCTTCACACTGTGGCTGGAAGGACCCTCCAGAATAAAAATCTGACCGTGCCACTTCCCTGCTGAAAACCCCTGTGACTGCCCATAGGATAAGGCACAAAGTCCTCGCCCATTCTCTATACTCCAGCCCTAGAGAATTTCCATCTCTCACCCCTGGGTCTCCGCACATGCTACTCCCTCTTCCTGGAGCAAACTTCCTCCTCCTCCCTGTTTAATTCTTATCTGTGTCTTAGAATAAACACCGCCTAATCTGAGAAGTCCTTGACTCTTTACCTGACTCTGCCGTGTGTGCCCTTAGCTCTCACTGTTTCCTTTCTCATAATCATGATCCTACTCCATTTCATTTAAATATATTATGAAATATGTAAGACCCACCACCCTGCTTAAGAGATACAGCAAAAGCCTAGATGTACCCCTAACTAACCTCAGCCCCCCTCCTATCACACACTCCTTTCCCCACTGCCACGTAACCACTTTCCCCTGAATTTGGCACTTAATATACCCACGTAGTTGGTTCTCTATCCTTTACTTATTAAGTATGTGTCTCTAAACAACATATAAGTACTGTATAATAGTACTTTGCATATTTTTAAACTTTAGGTAAATGGTATCATAATTATGTGTTCGGAAATTGCTTTTTTTTTTTTTGCTTCACTATAATGATTGTGGGATTCACCCACATTTACACATGTAGCTCTTCTCCTTTCATTTTTACTACTATATAATACTGCTTTGTATGGCTCTACTATACTTATTTACACATTGCTTGTTGGTGGACATTTTGATTGTTTCCGATATTTTGCTATTGTACACACTCTGTTAGGAGCATTCTCTTTCTACACATGTCTGAGTGCAATGCCTGGGAGGAGAAGTATGGGGTTAGAGGGCATGTGAACCGCCAGCTTTACCAGCTACTGCTACGTGGTTCTCCAAAGTGGTTGCTTCAGTTCACACCACAGGCAGTAGAAGACAGTTCCTGTTGTTCCACACCCTCCCCCAACTTGGAATGGTCAGGCTTTAAAATTGCTGCCAACACGATGTGGTAGGAGGTAGTGTCTCCTGGGGCTGTAAATCTTCTTTCCTTGATTATTTGTGAGGTTGCACATCTTTTCTGAGTTTGTTTGCAATTTGGTTTCCTCTTCTGATCATACTTTAAGTCCTCTTTAATTGTCTGTCTTCCTGACTGGTTTGCAGACGCGGTGAGGGCAGGGACCAGACTTACCTTGCTCACTGTTGTATCCCCAGCACCAAGCCCTGGGTCTGGCCCATGAGAGGGACTCAGAAGATTAAACAGAAAAAGGTGGCAAATGGGTGATGAAAGACAATCCCACCATTTCACTGTTTTGCTTGAAACCAGCCCAGGTCTCCAGTTGTTCGTAGTGACCAGTTAAAGCGCCTCACATAGTCCATTGGTTTCCGTCTCTTTGTCAGAATAACATGGTACTTCCAGCTTTTCAACAGTGTTGTTTTCAAATGGAAGCATCCAAAATACCTAAACTGAGCTCATCCAAGACACCTCAGCTAACCTAATGGCATTCATTTCTCCTGTTAAAAGAGACAGCACTCAGGACCGATGTGCTCCCCGGCATCAGCTATAAATAAGTCCCAAAATTGGATGAATAAAGAACAGGATGCCATTGAAGTGGGTTACATCTGCAAAATGCATTACAATTCTGATGTTTGTCAGAGTCGTCTGGTGAAGATCATGTCACGTTCAATAATAACAACGTGTCTTGATGGATTTCTAGTGCCAGGCATTACTCCAAATTTTTTACATGTATCATCTCATTTAATCCTTACTAAAACCTATAAGGAGAGTACTATTTTTTACAATAAGGAAACTATAGAGTGGAAGTGATTAGGAAACTCGCTCATGGACATTTAGCTGTGATCTGCTTATGCCTGCTTTGCTTCACCATGGCCTTGTGGAAAGCGAGGAGGGTTTTCTAAGAAAAATCCTACATGTGGCCACCCAGACACCCTGCCTGCCTTAGGCTGTGTGGTACTGTTTCGTAAGTTCAGGTTAGAAAGAAGAAACTGTACAGGAAAACTTACAAGCTTCCAATGTTTGAGACCGTTTTTCATGTTTACATCTATCTTTTCTCATTTCTATTTCACCTTCACAGTACTTGGGCTTCTGTCCTTTCTTCTCCACAAATGTACTATATCCTTTCTACACTACTCCTCTTTACTGCTATTCCCTCTTGCTTACCCCAGTCTCAGATCTGAGAACTGTTTCTAGCATCTTAGTTCCTGGGATATTTATCCAGGAACTAAAGATGACCGAGCCCGAAGGCTTGGGATCTCGCCATGGAAACTCCATTGGGTTGGCTTGTTCCCAATTACAGTAAAGCCTTAGATTGCAAGGACGTGGTGTGTGAGTGTTCCATAAGACAAGCAAACATTTCTAATACATTTTAACATGGTAAACGAGTGATGTCTTGCAATACAAGTAGTTTGTTTCCGGAACGAATTATGCTTGCAAACCAAGGTATGACTATATTTAATTTCATGTCGACTTTTAGCCAGTTGTTAGATGCTGGAGACACAGCAAAAAACAAGACAGACCTGATCCCCTCCCTCTTGGAGTTTGAATTCTATTTCTAGTTGAGGAGACAGAAACTTAACTAATCACACAGTTAATCATGGAGTAATAACTATGCTAAGTGCCATAAGGAAAAAAACAAGATGATGCAGAGTGTGTAAGGGGGTCGGGGTGGCTTCTTTGAGGAAGTGACATTGAGGCAGAGACCTGAGGGTGAAATAAGAGTCAGCTAGAAGAAGAGTTAGAGAAGAACATGTTTAAAGGTCCCAGGCCGGAAGGAGCCTGGGGGGCCAGCACGGCTGGAGCACAGTAAGCAAGAGGGGAGGTACTCAAGGGAGGCTGGAGAATGGGCAGAGGGAAGAGGCCAGACCAGGCAGGACCTGCAGGCCATGGCAAGGTCCTGGGTTTAATTCCAAGAGAAATAGGAATCCATAGAATCCAGGGTTTTGAGCAGGACACTACTGTGGTTGGATCTGTGCTTTGAGAGGTCCAGCAGTCTTGCTGCTGGGTGGTCAGTGTCCTGGAGGAAGTTGGAGTGGACGCAGGGAGTAGCTGGGAGGCGTTCGAGGCAGAGCAAGGCAGGAGGTGACGCAGCTCGGATTAGGTTGGAGGCAGTGGGTAAATATCAGACACCTGGTATGTTGGCACCAGCTCAATTAGTCCCTTTCTGAGCAGCGGTGGGTAAATCATAAAGCCTCTCTAAGTGGCCATCTCCTCCCATTTCTACAGAGGAAAAACCTCCTTCCCCCTCCCAGGGATGTCATGGACACTGTGAGATCCAGGCCCTCCCTGCAGGACCTGTGCCGTGGAAACGCAAGTAGTTATTAAGCGGCCCACATCCTGCCTTGCTGAGAGGTGATGATTTCTGGACTTTCAGGGCAGTCCCCAGAGGAAGAGAAGCCCTTTCTTTCCCCGGGTAGGACTGACTGAGTGAGCCAGGCCTCCACCCTGGCCGGTCAATCATTTTCTCTATTAGGGCACAAATGGGGGTTGGCGGTCTTAACATACGCATTCCCTCTGCTTCCAGCTTTAACCCTCTCTAGCATTATCTCTGCTGCCAACGTTGTCATGCTAATGATTTGGACACATAATATTGAACTCTAAAGTAACATTAAAATTAGACTGTGGCATGCCTGCTGCCTGGCTCTGAGGATGACACTTCTGGGAGAGTTACATATAACAAATAAGTGTAAGTTTTAGAAATCCAAATGTAATACAGTTATTAACTCCTTTTTATCCTTTTGGTTGTTTGGGTATAAGAGAAGCTTTCATGTGAGTGCTTTTCTCCCGCATTCTTTGTCAATATTTATGAAGATCAGTGGACGACTGTCTTTTATATCGATGCACTTTTCCTCCCTAGGACCCAACATGGCCTTGCACACACTAAATTATTTGAAGTGGCAGCTTGGGGAAGTAAAAAGCTTGGGACTGGGTGTGAATTCCAACTCACCAGTTGTCTCAAAGGGTTTGAAAGAGATCAGCCATAGCCCTGGTCCTACTCTATGCCCTGTAAACCTGTGAACTCAGGTTTGGCAGGCCAATTTTAGAAGTCGGCACCAAAGCCGGGGAGAATGGCCAATCCTTTGCGTATTGCATTGCAATCAAGTTGAGGATGTTTATTAGCTGATCCAGAATTCCATGGTGGCAATCCAATTGGACTTTATTTTAAATGGACTGGGCTATTTAATGTTTAACCCTTGTCTATCTCACCCACCGCTCTCTATTTCCTTGTGTATTTCACCTGTCACAAATGCCTGGCCATCACATGACTGTTGGCTCCCTCTTCTTCATCCTCCCTGCCCAGCCTGAGGAGCAGGAGAGGGGGCTGGTGAGTGCTCCCTGCGGCCCCCTCCCCAGTATGGGAAGGAGGGAGCTTAGGGGTGGGAGAGGAGGCAGGAGGGGTGACTCACAATGTGCAGTTCTCGGTGGACTCAGTGGTGCTGTCATCAATCTCCATGTTGGTTGAGAGGCTGGCAAAGCCGTGGGGCAGCTCATCCCACTCGTCGAACCGGATGCCCGTGCCGAGGGAGTAGCGGCCCTCAGCACACGGCTTACACGACTGGTCCTTCATGTCCAGAAACTCCCCGGCGTCGCAAGAAAAGGCTGGAACACAGAGCGGGGACAAGGGCGCGGGGGTGAGGCCACTGCCACCCAGGAGCAGTGGGCGGATTGTGGGCATCTAAAGGGAGGAGCAGAGGATGGAGAGCTAAGCGTTTGACCCACTATGACTTGGAGCCACAGCACGACCATGCAATGTCCAGCGAGGCAAAGCCACAGAGCCAGACAGTGGGTTTGTGGTGCCAAGGACTTGGGCGAAGGGGCATAGGGAGAGATTGCTCACTGACTGGATGTTTCTTTTGGGGCTGATGAAAATCTTCTGAGGTTAGATACTGATGATGGTTATGCAACTGTGAATATTCTAAAAACCACTGAATTCTACCCTTCAAAGGGTGAATTTGGTGACATGAAAATTTTATCTCAATAAAGCTCTTATTTAAAAAGCAAGGTGTGGAAGCCTTGCTGTGGGACTTAGGCTTGTCCCTGGGAGTCTCATTCTCTAAGGGAGTAGGTTCCGCCATGCTGAGAGCTCTCCATTGAAGAGGATACTGTGGTCTCTCGTGCTGACCCCTCTGAGTGGGGCCTGGCCTGTCAGAGACTCACCCTTGAGTCTCTGACCTCTGTCCCGCCTTCCTGGTTCCACTGCTGCCACCATACTGGTGGGATTTTCACCATCTGTTAGCTCAACCTCTGCAGTGTCCTCCTAACTAGTTCCCTGTTTCTTGTTTTTGCTCATTCTGTTGTCAGAAGTATCATTCTAATACACTAATATGCACTGTTATTCTTGTGATTTAAAAAATAACCAGGCACTCCCCTTTGATTATAGAATTAAGCTCTCAGTCTGGCATTCAGTCTTCCAAAAATTTCCCCCATCCTAACTTTCCAATCTCCCACAGCAGACTTTTGTCCACCCCAGCCCCATCTGTCACCTTCCCTGTGTTGCCTCCACCCCAAACCACATATTCTTCCTGGAATGTGTCTGGTGTTCTTCCCCTTCTAAACTTTTGCTCAAGTGGTTCTCCTAGCTGTTTCCCATCCCTCAGCATCCATAACTCCCATTCGTTTACACCTTGTATTAACATATCATGTATATATATTTTTTCTTTTAGCTGAGCCATTCTGCCACCTGTTGGCAGCTCAGCGGCAGCTCAGCTCAGGCCGGGAATTGAACCAGCAACCCTGTTGCTCAGAGCTCGCACTCTTGAGTGAGCTCTTAACCAACTGAGCCACTCGGCTGGCCTCAGCATATCATATTGATGTGTGTCCCCCACTAGGCTCTGAGCTCCTCCAGAGACGGTGGTTCAGTGACTGACAGACATAGCAGGAGCCCCACGGCAGTTTTGCTGAGAAAAGCAAATGGATGGATGAATGTCTGCTCCTTCCACCAGACTGTGAGCTTCTGAAGGCAGACACTGTGCCTGACTTAACTTTGCGGTTCACACAGTGCTGGCACATAGGAGGCGCCCAGTAAAGTTGGCCGAGTTCACTGAAGATGGCTCATTTGTTTCACACCTCAGCTCTGCTCAGGTCTTAGCAATATCCATTCATTAATTTAACAAGTATGTACTCACCTACTGAATGAGGGACTGTGCTAAGCTTACCTGAGAATTTAAATGAGCCCCATCTCCTTTCCAAACCCTCAAGTATTCCTTGATTCTAGTCCCTGATTTTCATTATTATCCCCATTGTATTTCTAAAAAGAACAGTGCAGGGGGATGAGCTGCCAACTGTAGGAAAGTTCTGACTACTGAGTCACAGAGGTGGGGACAGGAGTTGCAGGCAAGTCATCGCCTTGCTGATTGCACAGTCAGCTCCACGGCCGGGGGAGATTCTTTTCCCTGAAATGATGTCCAGTGCATTTTAAAGGCCTGTCTCAGCAGAAATTCATCTTCTCTGGCTTCCTTTTAAAGAACAAAAGCAAATCGCAATCTTTCCTAATGACTGATTGTGGCTGATGAGTGAAGACTGGAGAGAAATGCACAGGCAAAATAAATAAATAAATAAATAAATAAATGTATACAAGCTGAAAATAATATCTGAGTGGCGCACAGCTGGAATTACTTATATTTATACCCTGATGGGATTTAAATTAAAAAAATAAATAAATAAAAGCAAGGGCCGGCCGAGTGACTCAGTTGGTTAAGAGCTCGCTCAAGAGTGCAAGCTCTGAGCAACAGGGTCTCTGGTTGGATTCCCAGCCCGAGCTGAGCTGCTGCTGAGCTGCCAACAGGTGGCAGGATGGTTCGGCTAAAAAATAAAAGCAAATTCAGATACCCAGTTTGCATCCACGAAGTAACATCTCAAAAAGACTGGGGATGGAGATTAACTGGGGGAGAGATCTGATTCCTTAAGGTGGCTGCACTGTCAGGAAGGGCCTAGCTTGGAAGGCAGGAGGCTTGGGGCAGAAGCCAGAGCGGAGCAGCAGGGCGGCCCTGGAGCAGGATGGCTGCTTACAGCACTCTTTGCCCTTGACAGGGTCGGGGAGGCTGGTGCACAGGCCTGGGGTATGCGGCACGGCGACTCTCCACCTGGAGCCTGTGCTGTCACACGCGGTGTACTCGTAATGGTACTCAGACTGCAGAGGAAAGAACAATGGGCAAAATGTGCATTAGTGCCCGATCAGACAGGAACAGCTTCCCACCCACCCCACTTCCTGCCCTAAAGGATGGCTACTAATACTCATCAACACAGTAATGGGCCCTGGGACCCCGATGGGGAGCAAGGCATCATGGAAGCTACAATTGTTCGGTCCATTCCTCTCCAACCCAGCCATTGTCTAGTCCTTAGAAAACTTTTTTTTTTTTTTGCATGACTCTCTTTGCTGCTGTGTATAAATACCGTGTTTCCCCAAAAATAAGACCTAACTGGAAAATAAGCCCTAGCATGATTTTCAGGGTGCTTGTAATATAAGCCCTACCCCAAAATAAGCTCCAGTTAAGATCATCAGCCCGACATGACTGTATTTGAATAAATGTAGATTTTTGTACATGAATAAATGAATAAAATGCATCTTTTGGAGCAAAAATTAATATAAGATGCAGTCTTATTTTCAGGGAAACACAGTAATGCCCTGGTAGGCCAGAAGAATGTGGGAGGGCACCTAAAGAACAGGCTAGAAACAGATAGAGTTTTTCTTATCCCAAACTGTAAAATTTATGAGCAAGGACTGGTTCATGAAATATTTACAAAGGATTGTTGCAAAAGCTATATTTCTTGTTCCCTGTGGTTCTCATGCTCCCTTCTGCCCAGAAAGACTGTGAATCCCCACCTTGCATTTTGTAAAAGCATCATATGTAGCCCAAGCAGGTAATGTGTTCTCATCACGTGAATCTATTCATGCCTAATTTCTCTGTGCAATGTGACACTCACAGTTCAACTGCTTTACTTAAACTAAAAATAAACTGAATAACAACAACAAAACAGCCAAATCAAGCATTATATAGAACAATAAAAAAGCACCACTCAGGAGAAAAAAAACACAGTAGACATGCCAAAAACCCCTAAACATTTCTTACTCTTTGAAATCTTGTAATAAACAATAGACCACAGAAGTAATGTGATTTGGGCTCTGACAAGAATTTTACAGTCTGCACTGAAGCTATATTCAAGTGTAGAACTGCTTTGTATTATTGTGTCCATACAAAAAATAGATTTAATGTCCTCTTTTCAACCCATATGAAAGCATGATTGCATAACATGTATAAATGCAAGACTGAGACTAAAACTGAGACAGTTAATCTAAGAATGCATGAGCACCAAAAGGAGAAAGTGTCACCTTTTGGAAGAGTTAAACCTACTGCATTTCATCTATTCTAAGATGCCTATTTCTTTCACATTTTAACATCCGTGAAATCAAGATATTTGGCTTATAATTGCCACAATGAGGAAGCATTGTGTCATATTTTAACTGATAGAGCCTTTTTTTTTGTGGTACATAAAAAATGATGTGTCTTAGTAGCACTGGCATCTCAGATTTGTGAAAATAACAATAAACGTGTTTCTCGATCTGTAGTTTCAGACACTTAGGCTGGCAAGAGAACAATTTTAGAGCTCCGTTTTTATTTTCCTTTATTATAAATATTTACCAGATATCTACTATATGCCCAGCAGTTCAAGGTACTAGATGTTGGCCTGGTGTGGCTCAGGACAGCAACATACAACCCAGCACTTTCATCCAGAGGGAGAAGATGCAGAGGAAAGGGGGACAGCTTGGGGAACCGAGGGCCTAACTTTTTATGTGAACCTCTGGCTTTGCATTTAGATGTCAGTATCATCTGGGAAAGAAAGAACATCAGGATGGGAATACATGGTGCCCTGGAGCTAATATCTTTCTAGGTCTAGTTTTCCTCATAATTCCAGTCTTTTCCTTATCTCAGAGGCCTCTGAGATACATAGGGCAACTACACATATATCCCTTCCAGGTCTAAAAATGATATTCTCAAAGGGTTTTGCTGCAAGAACGAGGGTAAAATCTACAATATGTAAATTTAATGGAGAATTGAAGGAACCAGGCAGAGAGGATCCACGTTCTGCCTGTGAAAATAACCATGTCAGTCATTTGCATAGTGCTTTCACAGTTTCCAAACACTGTATCATTTGACCTTCAATCTCCCCATAAGACAAGCAAAGCAGGGGCTGTTCCCTTCATTGTACAGATGAGAAAACACTCTCAATGGGGTGAAATGTCTTGTACAAGGTCACACAGCTGGCAAGTCACTGAGCGAGAACCCAGGCCTTCCCATCAGGAATACTCCACCCTCATATGTCGAATCAAACACAAACTCACACTGGGCCAAATTTAACAGCAAAATCTAAAAATTAAGTAAGACAGTGTTGGTTGTCTGCCAGCATCCAGGCTCAGTTCTGAGGCCTGAGAATGGGTGTAAAAATATCCATCTATTCAAGCAGATAATTTCAGCTCTCTCTGACTGCATTTGGCCTTTGGAGACACATGGTCTGAGCCCATTTCTTTTCATGGTCTTTCATTTGGTGTCCCCAGGGACTCACTCAGGTGGGAGGTTTCCTGGGAAAACGGTGATTCCAAGCCTTAGAAAATTTCCCTTTCAGCATGTGCTAATTTATCTCATATCACTTGGAGATATTTATATCATCCAAAATGGCTGCCTCTGCTGCAGCTGTTTCAAAACCGAACTACACTTTGAGATCTCAAGACATAGAGACATAGGCATAGACAGTTAAATCAGAGACATAACTGGCAGCACTCCTCAGTTATATTCTGTGAACAAATCAATTCCCAATGGTACCTTAGTTTATGCAGTGATCTGTTTTTGAAAGTGTATTGCCTGCGTAATATACAGATTCACAAAGGAGACACACAAGTATATTCAGCATATATGTCCAGCACACAATTCCTTGCTCCTCCCATGACACATATCCAAATCACAATTTAAATGGGGTACTGCAGACAGTAGCTATGCCTGTTCATCAGAGAAAGAAGGGAAGGGTTTGGAAACGAGGGGTGGACACCTTAGCGCCCTGCCTTAAATCACCTAGCCTCATGTAATGCGCCCAAGGAACATGAAAAAGAAGAGGAAAACACCCCAAAGTTGGAATCTGCTTTGCCAAATATTGAGCTAATCTTTTGGCTCCAGAAAAAGGATTTACTCACACCCACAATGCTTTCAGTCCTTGCTGTCTAGGTATTGAGTGGGCTGCTGACGTGATAAAATAATTGGCAAGTCAGGATGGTACCCAGATGGCAACGTGTCCTTCCTTCCACTTTCCCCGTTCTTCCAAAATAACATTTTAGTTTTTTAGATCATTAAAGAACTATGTTAGAGATTAGAGATTGGTGGTAATCTCTATAGATTGGGTGCTAGAGAGGCATTCGGTTGCTATTCACTGTGGAAGATGTATAAAATGTAAGCTTGATGAGCTGGTGGCAAAGGGAGGGATGCGTGCTAGATGGTGTGCTGATTTGCCCCTAAAGCGGGGGTTGGGGGGTGGTGTCCCTTTTTCCCATGTGCCATGGGTCAGTTGTGAGCATAAATAAGATGATATAGTCAAGCACATGGCACAGCAGGTTTTTCATCTTCAAAACAACCTAATGAAGTAGGTACTATTATTACTGTACCACTTTATAGATGGAAAAACTGCAGCATTGAGAGATGAAGTCATTTGCTCAAGGCCACACAGCCAGGAGATTGCTGAACTAGGACTGAACCTGGAGTCCAGAACCTGTGTTCCAGGCTCCTGGTGTTGAGGTCAGCCTGTGTAGGTGCCAATCACACTTACAGTGTGTGGCTGTGGCCCAGCACTGGCTCTCAAGCTGCTGAAAACTTTGCAGGAAAAGCCGAGGGTATAAAAAACTTTGCAAACAGGACCCACGGGGGAAAGAGTCAAGCTCAGAGAAGTGTGGAATGGGAAGGCTGACAGGTACTTTAAACCTCATTGGAGGACCTCCTGTCGTAGACATCTGTTGTTTTTGCCTGCCCATTGCTCCCTCCTCAGGCACCATAGCCTCTCCTTATTATAATATATTCAGTTTTGGTGGGATTGACTAATGAGGTGGCCAACCCTTCTCTGCTAAGGCATGGACACACCCACGGGAAGCCAATCAGATGCTTCCCCTGGGTAAGTGGGAGATGGGATGAGAGAGGGAGGACACTTAGCCATGAGTGGAAAGTAAGGGAGGATGGGGCAGGAAAAGGTCTTAGGGGAAGTGAGGGCACAGCAGGGTCATTTGGTCATTTCACTCTTCTGAGTTTCAGTCTTCTCATCTGTAAAATGAGAAAATTGGACTTAGGCCATTTCTAATTTTTAAGATTCCTTCCAGTTCTAATATCTTATTTTTCGGCTGGTCCTTACATGGAAATCTGTTCTTTCTTCCACCTTCGTGCCCTTCCTTCAAAATAGCACATCTTAGTTTTAAAAATAATTATCAAACTAATACATGTTAGTTCTAGAAAAGATGAAAATACAGACCAGGATAAAAAAAATATATCTGCCATTAGCTCACCAAGCAAAGGTCACTTCCTGTAGCATTTTATTGTATTTCTTTCCAGATTCTTTTACTATACATGTGCACATATTTTTAAAAACAAAATGAAGATCATATGGTATGTGCTTTTGTATTCTGAACTTTTTTTTTTTTTTTTTACATTTTAGGTCACAAGCACTATCTTTAATGGTTGCACCATAAGTTTCTTTAACCATTCTCGTCTTGTTAGACATTGACTTTTGTCCAGTTTTTCCTTGTTTTAAGTTTCACTACAATGAAACTTTCTGTGTATCACAGGTTATTTCCTTTGGATAGATTCCCAAAAGTGGGGTTACTAGGGAAAAGAATATGAATTTCTTTAAGATTCTTGATCAAGAAGAGAGATTTCTAAGAGAAAACAAATATTTCTGAGTTTTGTTTTTGTTTTTGTTTTTACTTTTTATCATGGTAAATTTCAAATATATATATATATTTAAAACCAGAATATAATGACCCCCACCAGGTACCCATCACCCAGAGTCCATTTCTTGTCCATTTCTGCCGTCTTGCTCATTTACCTCCATCTATTCCTCTCCACTTGAAGTTATTATTTTTTTTAAAGTTGCAGAAAAGGA